CCTGTTACTTGCCTACCATGCCTCGTTTTCCACCCCTGCGTGGAGACCGCCATCCAGGCTTTGCTTTCTCATGTCAAAGCTGCCCTCCATATGACTGGTAATCTAATTACTGGTGGGGGATAATTCAAAAAGCAGCAACATAGGTAGCACAGTGAAACAGAAGCAGAGAAACCATTAAATTACACCTTTCTCTCGAGGTGATCAGCACAGTGATGACATCACCAAATCTCACTCACAATCCAGGGATTTCCTTGGACAGGAAGTGAAGGGAAATCTCCCCAATGCGAAAATAGAAAACCGACAAAGGTTAGAACCCTCCCTTACACTATCCAAAATGACAAAATAAATTTACGGGTTCATTTGAGACTCTTTGGGATTGTATAATTACAAGGCCAGAAACAGATGTCTGAGAACACTAGGCTACCAGTTAAGACTCCAGAAAAGTATATTGTGGTCCCAGTGTTTACATGCTATTTTTTGTTTGTTTGCGTGTAGTACTTATCATAGTATAATAGTTCAGAGATGAAGAAATTGAGTTAGGCGACAATCAGAATGTGCAGCAATTCACTTCAGCTAAAGATTACTTCCAGTCCCAGTATGCAGAATAATTCAGTTTCAGTGTCACATAACAAAGACAGGAGACCCAGCACAGTGTCACTTCAGCCATAGAGGGCAGAGTTAAGCTTGGCCATACACTGCTCAAGATGCAGCTGAGCCCAGCAATTTGAGCAGTGTGTGGTGCCCTCAGTAAACCACTCTGCTCCTACTGATCAACAAAAGTTGTTGTATTAGTTGACTTTTGTCAAAGAAGTCAGTCAGAAAATAGTCAGCTGCAATCACTGTTCGGGTATTTTGACAGCAGTATACCCACTGCTCTCAGAATACTATAGCTCTGCAGGAGGGATTCACCCATCCATGCTTGGGTAGGGCACCAAAAAGTTGCCCCTCAGAATGAACCTTTGGGTATAAAAAGTCAAACAAATTCACTGCACCATCATAGAAAACACACAAGCTTGTTTCCGGAACACTATCAAATGTCATTTGCAGATTTGCAGCAATGGAACACAATTGTTTAACGTCACACACCAACGCACACAAACAAAAAAGGATAAATGCTAAGAACAATGCAGGTCTTTTCCATTTTATACTATCAAGAATATAGTTTTTGTATAGTACCTAATTTACTACATGTACAACAGTGACAAAGAATATATCCAAAAACAAGCTTCCATAGATCATTTATGGAAACTATTTATAACACTTCTCAGATACCCTCCCTCTATTTTTGGAAAGGCGAAAGACAGATTAAAAAAATTCTGGCATGCTTAAAGCTCAGTTTACAACTTAGTGTAGCAGACATTGTCTTGCTGCCTGAATGAGGGCAAGTACAGAAGTATCACTCTGGAAGAGGCTGTCTACTGTAAAGCAAGCAAAGTACAGCAATGAAGACAAAGTCAACATGTAAAAACAATACATAGAGTAGCACAACAAATTTTCTATCAGTTCATTGGTTGAACTGGGCAAATAAAAACACTTTAAAAAAACGTTTTTTTAGGTGATTGAAATGAAACCATTTAATAGAAATGCTGCCATAAAAATGTTGAAGCACTGTGTATCATAAACAATTACCATTTTTTCCCTAAAATACTTTTTTTTAACCTTTTTTCATCTCAGCACTGCTAGTCTCCTCAGCCTTTTTCAGTCACTTCCTGTCTATATGAATTTGCGCCAGTGTCTCCTATGCATCATTGCTCTGGACTGGCTTCCTAATAATGACAACAGGGGCTCATGTGATAGGGTGACAGCACATGAACAAAACTTGGAGATAGTTGTCACAAAGTGCCTGAAGAATGAGGTTCATGGCAGGGTCACCAGGGATTATTATAGTTAGAGCTGCAGATAAATAAAAATGACTTTGAAATGAAAACAGTATAAAGAATATATCAGATTTTAGTAAGTGGGTTTAGCTCTGTGGTAAATAGCCTAGCAGGTAGATAACCCCCCCAGCTGAGATACGATGACACATATTTGTTGAAACACCAGGGGCACCCACAAACCCAGTATTGGGGAGCCCACTGAGCAGAGGATGCAGGTAGAAAAATCTACCAGGACTTGTATGTGTGGATAACAGGGAAGCACACAGCATGCAGGATACAAGGAGGAGGGTCTCACCTTCTGGTCCTCAATGGAGCAGGTTATCACTTGAATGGTCCCTCAGGCTCAGCTCCCCAGTTCACGCAGGCTCCATTCACATATAGCGTTTGCGTTTCCTGCATGGTTTTCCGTGAATCAGCCATAAAATCGCGCTTGCACTATTCTGCGGAACACGGATTTTGTACCGTGAGCCTGCCGCAAAAGTCTAAACAATGCACATGAAAGTGCATTGTTTTTACGTTTAGAGCGGTTCCGCGTGTATTCGTACAGGTGAATATGCACGGACAACCGCTCCTAGGTGAATGGAGCCTAACTGAATCTGCAGGGAAAGGCAAGGGGGCAGGGCGGCCAGATGACTGGGTGGGGGTGGAGGTGTTGCCACTCATAGTTGGGCCCACCAGTGAGAAACAGCAGAGGGGGACACAGATCAGAGACACACACAGGTAGCACTTCCGCTTGCTAGAGCCTTATACAGCTGGACAGGCAGTTGCTATGAGGAAGTATCCTCTCTCACACACAACAGAAATATGGCACTCTCGACATTTTCAGCCATATGCATTTCCAGCAAAGACTTGCTGCTCGCCCTTAGCACTCTCTGCCACCTCAAACACCACACCACTGTCACCTCTTATCTCCCAGCAAAACTTTCATAAGTTCAGAGAGATGGGGAGATGGTGAGCCCACACATAGATGGGGCTCGGGCCCAGTTTAAGAGGATTGCCTGTACACCCTATTGGCAGTGGAGGGATGCCATGACATCTTTCCCCTGTCTAAGCTCTGACACGAGTCGACACCAGAGATTAAGCAGGCAAAGGATGCTACAACAGAGAGGCAGCAAAGGAGCATGACTGGGAAAGTTTATATGCCTGGGGGTCGGTCTATGTGCAGACACTGTCTGAATGGGCAAAGTGTCAGTGTCACCTAAGGCTTGGCTAACTTTAATCTGATTGGTTGCAATGGGTTACAACACAAAAATGTAGCTTTGTCTTTGCTCTGCCTCAAATAATACAAGAACCGTTCTAAAAGAACTCATGACTTTGGGGATTTCCAGGACTGTGACTTTAAACTAGCCGAAGCGGGGGACAAATAAGTTTTAATAGAACAATACCCTCATCTTCCCTGTTACCAAACACAAAGACTTAGCAGGTGACAAAATGGGTATAGGGATTTCTGAAATCTTCAGTTTTTCATATACAAAATATTGTACATACACTGAGAAATTTGCAATATATGGACATTTAGCTGCCATGTTCTATCATATAGAAAAAAAACCCTGCAGTGCAAGCATATCCAGCTTCCATGTCATTTTTAACCTAGCCTGAATTTATTTGCTAAGTAAACATACATAGGTTGATCAATGGCAGTTCAGATTTAAAACAACCTGATCTGCAAGACAACTGGTCAATGTATAGGTAGCTGTAGAAGAGCTTTATTTTAATTACTGCTTTCAGCTAACTTGCATCTTAAAAGGAGAACTATGGGGTTAAGTCTTTTCCCCATAGTTCTCCTTAGGGTAACGGGAGGACACAAACTAGCGTCCTCCCGTCACCCTAGGCTCAGTATTCAGCGAGCTACAGCTCGCGGTATACTGAAACGCCGCAGCTGAAGCGGATCCCGACAATAGTGCTGGGATCCGCCCAGCTGCGTGACTGACAGCTGGCTCTGCCTATCTAAAGGCAGAGCCAGCTGTACACATAGTTCTCCTTTAATTCATAGCTTTGTGAACAAATTGTCTTAAAGGCACAGTCTACCTTTTAAAAAAGAAAAATAAATGCACACATATTTATAAAAGAAAAAATGTGCATTTATAATTTTTTTTGCATTTGAGCCAGTAAAACATTGCAATCACAATCAGCTCTTGCTCCTGTAGATTCTCCCTAGTGTCCTTGTCCCTACTGAGATATGGACATTCAGTAACAGGGACAGGAAAAAAAAAAGAATGAACTACAAGTGCAGTGACATCACCCACTTGTGTTCCATTCAGAGCTACAAGTCACTCTGCTGTGGAGGCAGATGGGAATTGTAGTTGCTCCATTCACAGACCCTGTCAAAGGATCTGTGAATGGATGACACGACTGTGTGGGCAGAGTCATGCACAGCCGCACCAGATTAAAAAAAGAAAAAGCAACTGCCTGCAGAGAAAATAACCCCACGATTCAGGTAAGCAGAACAGCGGGGTGGGGTGGTGGTGATGTAACCATGTTACAACCTATCTATGGGTATAACATAAAACACGCACTAAGCCCTCATTCACACTAGAATAGGCCGGCACGTACTGCTCCGTGCACGGCCGTATCAGGCAGCTTCCGGGAAGGAGAGGTGCTGCGTGTGATTAGTACGCAGCCCTTGTCCTTCTCTATGGGAGTACGCGGCCGTACGCCGCCCTACGCTCATCTGCCCTGCATGTCTATGTGGGTGTGGGTGTCCGCACTCGTACGGTCACAGGATGGATCCTGTCTGCGTCCGAGCCAGGACACCCGCACCCGTACGGACCTGCACTTGGGGTGAGCTTAGGGCGGCGTACGGCCGCGTACTCCCATAGAGAAGGACAGGGGCTGCGTACTAATCACACGCAGCACCTCTCCTTCCCGGGAGCTGCCTGATACGGCTGTGCACGGAGCTGTACGTGCCGGCCTTTTCTAGTGTGAATGAGGGCTAAAAGTAAGCCTTAGCCTTTAACATGTTTTCTATATGTCCCAATTCAGAATAGTCATCATGTGAGGTGGCCAGATCTACTATACCTAAAAATTACATTCAGCACGCACAAGAAACAACTGAGAGGACGTTGCACATCTCCCATTACTATACTCCGAAGCAATGTCTCTGTCTACTCCAGAGTATTTCACCTTGCTCAAAATACGGATGATGTCTCCACGCTGAAATGACAGCTCATCACTCTTGTCACTCGTGCAATCCCAGAGTCCCTGGTAATAATCTGCATAATTAATTATAGATCCACCTGATGGAAAAAAAATAAAAAATTAGCACAAAACATTTAATGCCATCACATGCACTTGCTACAGTCTTTTACCACTCCACTTATTAGGGGACATATTTAAACACTAATATTCAACAAAGAACGAAAAAATATATCATATGCATAATACACAGTATAATAATAAAAATGACATGGATTTTTTATGGGTTGCTAATTTGGGTTTATGAACCTAAGATACAATTAAACTTCTATACAACGTAAAAGCCTGCTAATAATATTTAGAAAGATGTCTGTTTAACATTAACTCTATTACAAAAACTAGAGGCCACCACCTAAAATTGGTGGGAAAAAAATTCCAGCACATGGGGCGAAGGGGGTTCTTCACGGTAAGATCAGTTAGGGTCTGGAACTCACTGCCACTCACTGGCGGTGATTTCAGCAAATAATGTGGAATTGTTCAAGAAACTTTTGGACGATTTCTTAAGGGACCGTAATATACAGGGGTACGGGTACTCCTAGAATGAGATCCTAATAGGTTGGACTTGATGGACTAATGTCTTTATTCAACCTCAAATACTATGTAACTATGTCAAAATTCCCCTGCCTTACAGTTTCATATTACTTTGCATTTACGTGTTCTGTGCAGCAGAGGGCAACCTACTGTTGCATGACAGCAATTCCCAAACTTTGATTTATCATGTCAATCCAATAGGACAGCTAGTAGTAGCTATTTACATTTAACTGCACCCTTTCTGTAATGTTGAAGATGTTTCACCACTTATCCAAGCAGCTTCCTCAGAACTGAGGACTGGCAGATATGATGGCAGTGACATGGAGCTGTCAGCACTGGAGGAGGGCACACTGTCATTCCCCCCACTTTACATTACAACTTGTAAGTGATTATTTAAAAATATTAAAACACTCAATAGATTGGTGAAGGTTATCATTGTGGCCAGAGTGAGTGTAATTCTGGCCATACCCACCAGAATAAAATAGGCATAATCCAACAGCTCTAAGACATCTGTGTCAGTGGTTTAGTCTTTGGGAAGCCTATAGAGAACTTAACCTGTCCAATTGCTATAACCTTGGCAAGCCTCAGCCAGTAATCACTGCAGGTACCTCATAGATAATAATATAAAAACACAAATCGTACAAACAGCGCTCTTGCAATGATCTTGAGGGGGTAGATAATGTGACCCTAACTAGTATGCATCCCGGAAACCCAGGAGGAGTGCCTGTGGATATGCAAACCAGAAACAGAAAAACGAAAGGGCGCAACACTAGGTCAGCTGACTGACCGGGTCGGACAAAACAGGGAAGGTGACAGGGAAAATAATATGACAAATGGATACAAAGGGCGCAAAACCAATGAACAACTGAGTGACTCAGCAAACCATGGTGAAAAAACAAATGGATGAGCACTTACATTTAGATCGTGGGACCAGAGGATGGACGGCCAGTGTGGAGGATCGGGACATCCGTGGTGTCTATCTGAAACTGGTGTGCCAGAAGATGTGCATCCACACGGGAAGAGGAGGCTGTGGACGAGGGGGGGGGGAGAACAAAGGAATGGGGACTCAGTCCGTGGCCCCGCTATGTGAATCCAGGGGCTGTGTAGTGTGGGGGAGAATCGGCGGTGTCAGATGCAGGCTGAACAGCTGTGGCCGCGGCTGTGGATCATGATGCTCGGTCACTGTCAGCGCAGACTGGGGCAGTGTACGGGAGCCGTTGACTGAAAAATGTCGGCTGTCAGTCGGGTCTGTGATGGGATAAGGGTTGTAACGGGATGGAAGGGCAGTGAGCAACGCGTTTCGAGGAATGATACCTCTTTCTCAAGCTCGAAAAGGAACATATGTTATGTTCCTTTTCGAGCTTGAGAAAGAGGTATCATTTGCTGAGTCACTCAGTTGTTCATTGGTTTTGGGCCCTTTGTATCCATTTGTCACATTATTTTCCCTGTCACCTTCCCTGTTTTGTCCGACCCGGTCAGTCAGCTGACCTAGTATAGATAATAATATATCACCCAATGCTGAACAGGGAGACTGTAATATAATGCCTATGTACGCCAACAGTATATTGTTGAAGCTTTTGGGCATCTTATGTATTCCAATGATCTACTCAAGATGTTTACAAGAGATGTCTACAATGACAGACTCTTAGATGCAGTAAGTAGTCAACAGTCGATTGTACCAGACTTTGAAGGTCATGAAAAAAATCAAGAGTTCTAGTTGCCTACCAGTGCCTGCTGGCCAGAAGCACCCACTAAAATAGTTTATTTATACTACCACAAAATGTATGCTCAGCTGAGAACCACTATCTGACCCAAGCTGCAACTGTGTGTTTTGGCCCCCTGCATGCATAGCGCAGAAAGTCTTACACTTTGGGAAACCATGTCCCGTGATTTACAATTGTTATATATCTCATGACACCTTCTCACTAATCTACCAGGAAAGAAAGGACAGGGTTAATCATGGAAACTGTAAATCCCCAGCCCCCTCCTTAAAGGAGAACTCCAAGCAGAATAAAACTTAACCCTTAACCCTTGCAGTGGGGCTCATTTTGGTCTAGGGTCCATGCAGTGCTTGTTTTGGTCTAGGGTCTAAAATGACAAAGCTATACTTACTAGAAGAGGAAAACATTTTTTTTCAGCAATTCAGTCAGCAGCATTTTTCAAATAGTTGTTAAATTATACCATGTGAAAGGGAACATATAACGCATATAAAGTAGGTGTTATCCCAATATAGATGCAAAAGTGGAAATACACTTTACAGAGGAATGCCAGGCAAGAAGTGAAACCAAACAGTGAGCTAATAATGTTATCTAGCATACCCTTGCAGTTATTCCAAAACCAAAAAGTTCACTCAATTTACCCTAAAGCTCAGCTCCAGGAAAACTTCGATTGCAATGGGCCTTCCCCCACACTGCAAGTGTTAAATGCTCATTTAGGTCTGGGTTACCTGGAAAAAGGACTTTTTGCGTACCTGATCCCCCATTCCTACAAAACCAGCACCCGCAACCTTTCCCCCCCTCCCCACGCTCCAGCAGGAAGAGGTCCGCTCACATCATAAAGTACAATGCAGGGCCCATATCCTGCATTATACATGAGGACGCTGAGGGACAGTCCACAAGCCAGAGTGCAGGGAAGATGAGGTAAGCACTGACTGCTGGGCAAGTGGGGATCAGGTAAGTAAAATGGCTTTTCCCAATACCCTACATCTAAGCAAGAATTCAACCCTGGCAGTGGGGGGAAAACGCACTGCAAGGAAAGTTTTGATCTTTTCCACGGAGAAAGGCTTTATGTTATTTTTATGTAACCCACTAAAGCATGAATCCAGTTAGTATCTCGCAGTTTTACTGTGAGAATGTTCTTCATAAAACCTTGTAAAATCCTATTTAAGCTTCCAAGGTAAGTTTGAATTTCATCAGGTGTTTACTAACCGTCCCCTCCGCTCTTCCAAAGACCTCCTGCTTTCCAGCTCCCTCGTCAACTCCTCCCATGCTCACCTCCAGGACTTCTCTGGAGTCTCTCCCATCCTCTGGCACTCTTTACCCCAACCTGTCCATCTATCTCCCACTCTGACTCCCTTTAGGCGATCCCTAAAGACTCATCTCTTCAGGGAAGCCTATCGCAGCTCAACCTAACCACTGAACCATCACATTCTCAAACAATTAATTCCCACACAGCTACCTCCTCATTTATCACTTGCCCCTCCCTATCAGATTGAAGCCCTCAGGGGAAGGGCCCTCCTTACTATCTTGTCTTGAATTGTATTGTAATTGTCACGTCTTCCTTAAATTGTAAAGTGATGTTCAAACTGTTGGCGCTATATAAATCCTGTATATTAATAATAATATGTGAGAAACAGCACGAAACCTGCCATGGATGTATTAGTAAATCCACGGGCAGTGGATTTACCCCCCCACCGGCAGTGGGGGTGGGATTGGTGCCTAGATACAAAAAACTGGAGCGCAGACCAGGTAGGCAGTGCTGTCTGTACTTATTTCAGGATTACATTTAGAGTTGTGACTGGAATGTACCTTTAAAGTCACCCAGAAATATGGTACTAATAGTTGCATACATTTTCATGCTACCTGTGGTTCTTCCTGAACAGACATGGGAGGTGATGTCTAAATGTAGAGGAAACACATGGCTGTCTAAAGCCAGGGAGTGGAAAGATCCAGAAGGCAGTTTTTAATAACAGTCCTGTCTCATACACAGGCGCTTAAAGGACTGTTTGCCTTAGGCTATGCTAAAGAGACAGTGGTTGTTGGGCAAACAAAGTGGAGAGAGATGCTTCCTATGAACATTTAAATCAGAATTTGCTTTCAATGCTGTCTTACGTATTGCTGTTACAGTAGTGTGAACGCTTTATTTAATAATGTGCAAAGTGCAATTATCCACAGTCACCAAAAAGATTTTACCTGTTCTTTGTATACAGCATTCATTGCAAAGGTGATTTTCTGACAGGTTGTTATAAGTCTCTGCACTCTGCCATACTACTGAATATGTAACCCTGAGTGTATTTATTTTGCACAAACATTTCCATACCTTCTAGATTTGAAGAATCATAGTCTGTCTCTTCATCGCCTGTGAAAAAGAAAAGTTCAGAAGTTAAGTCACAAGTATTACCATTCCCCCATAATATTACAGACAAGTAGGTTAGGAACTCACAAGGCGAACATAGAATGTGAGAAAAGTTTGAAAAGTGTTCCACAGTGCCCAAAAAATTTCCACAGTGCACTGTAGTCTCCCACACTGCCCCCCGCAACACTCCCAGTCCCCTGGAGAGATCTTTGGCCCGCCTTCTACTGCCTACTCCATCCTTTTGTATTCCATCAGCATGCTTCTGTCTGCTTGTTATTCCAATGAGCCTATGCACTCTTCCCCTAGCTCTCCCTTGAGTGGTGGCACCCACCCCTGATGATGGTGGTACCTACTGGAAAGGAAAGGCCAAGAGAAGGAAGAGCACAGGGTGGCAAGAAGGGCTCTGGCCTTTGGGATTGCTGTGAGATGGAGCAGCCAGGTCACAGGGTTGAGGCTGAAATCATTATCAATGAGTAAAAATTACTTGTGTGATCAAAACTGTTTAATCTTGGGGCAATCCCAGAAGATGAGAGTGCCTTTGTCCTCGCCGTATCTCTAGCACTATGACTGTTAAAATACATAGTTAAGATATTACCGTGGGAGTTCTGTACCACCATGTCAAAAGTTTGTTGTTTATTTCCTGTTTCCTATTTGTTGTTTATGGGGGCACCGTGTGAGAAAAGTATAGTATAGGCTATCTGTACTGAAGAAAAATAAGTGTTTGGGTCCTTTTCCCATTTCTGTAGAAAGGAGTCTGAGGGTAGACTGGATAAAATCAATTGAGAAGATGTAGAGAATGTTTGCCTTAGGGTGCCCCAATGGATACAAATCTCTTTGATTACACCTCATGAAACTCAACTCTTGGGGCAGGATCCAATAGTGGAGGGTCTGTGGGAGTGGTAAAGTGAATCACACTAAGGTGTACGTTTAATAAACTGTGAAAGAGTGTGATAAGCAGTGAGAAGGCTTTTCTCACCTTAGCAAAGTGAAAAGTCTAGAAAATGCTGTTTAATAACCCGAGATAAGTCAGGTAGGAACAGAAACATCTCACCTCTTCTCATCCTGGATAAGCTGTTCTTTACTTTTCTCCCTTTATTAAACAGGTACATTCCCATTACTTTCTATGTACTTATCACCAGGATGAGAAGAGGTGAGATATTTATGTTCCTACCTGACTTATCTCGGGTTATTAAACAGCATTTTCTATACTTTTCACTTTGTTAAGGTGAGAAAAGCCTTCTCACTGCTTATCTCACTCTTTCACAGTTATTTAAACGTACACCTTTGTCTTTATGACTTGGTGAGAACTTAGGGTGACCAATAATGGGCTACATTGGAGAGGGTTAGTGTGAGACTTTCCATTTTTTAAGATATGGTGGCAATTGTTCAAAGTGCAGAGTTTATCAATGGATGATTATGAGAGAGGATACATGTCCAGCCTAGGGTGTGCCCGACAGGGGAATTGGTGCATAGTCATGATCAAATAACGACAATAGCGAGTTTGTTAACGGTGGAACCACAAATCAATTATTCCAGTTAGGTGAATTGCAACATAGTATAGGACTGGACGTGATGAGCCAGAAGCTACCCTAAGTTTGGATAGGAGTAGAACATACTTTATAATGTGAGATCAGTCTTCTTCCCAAATGAGTTTGATGTTAACTTTTTTTTGGCCGTGAATATCAAGGATAGATCTATTTTTCCTGAGAAAGGGCTCAAGGGTTAGGATGAACACAAGTCGAGAGAGGGGGCTGTCCTAGTGGGTGCCATTAGTGATGGTGAAGCTGTGGAACAGGGTGCCATTGACTCTAACTGTGGAAGTAGGAGAGCAGTAAAGCACTCAAATCCATTTCAACTTGTGAGGAGGGATGTGGATATGTTGGAAAGTGAGGTCTAGGAACTCCTAAAGCATCTGGTCAAAGGCCTTTTCTGCATCTATAGGAAGGAGCGACAATGGGATTGCATCTGCCAGAGCGTGCCTGAGGAAGTCTAGGGTTCTAATTGTATTGCCCCTGGCTTCTCTCAAAAGGCATGAACACTGCTTGGCCTAGGTGAATGATCTCTGAGAGACGGCGCTTGAGGCAATTCATAAGGATTTTTGTAAACATTTTAACATTGCAGTTGAGGAGTGAGATCAGTCTGTCTCCAGCACAGTACATTAGGTCTTTCCTGATTTTCAGTATATCTGTGTGTGGGCATGTAAGGTGTCTGTGGGAAAGAAGTGTTCCTAAAAGCATTGAAGGAAGCGAAGAAATGTGGAAGGTGTTTGTAGTAGTCAGCCCATCAGGAGGGCTGTGCGGCTCTCAGGTGACTGTATGGGTCTCATCAGGGTCCGTCTCAAGGGCTGCTGTGGTTCTCCAATTAGATGGCAGCTTGCTCCTCGCTAGGGCCCCAAGAGGCCCCAGCGAGTGGCTGTCTAATATGCCTGATTGTGGCTGCTGCTCTAGGCCCGCTCCTGAAAATATGCCCGACCGCCCCGGATTGCCTCGGTATGCGAGGCACTATATAAATAAATCCCAATATATATATCTATATATAGATATATATATTGGGATTTATTTATTGAAAAAAATAATAATATATATACACACACACAGCAATTACCCATAACATTATGAACACTGAGAGGTAAAGTAAATAGCATTAATTATCTCATTACAATGGCACCTGGAAGTGGGTGGAATATATTAAGCAGCAAGTGAACATTTTTTCCCAGAAGATGATGTGTTAGAAGCAGAAAAAATGGGCAAGCGTAACGATTTTACCAACTTTGACAAGGACCAAACTATGATGGCTAGCACCTCCAAAACTGCAGTTCTTGTGGGATGTTTCTGGTCTGCAATGGTCAGGTCCTACCAAAAGTGGTCCAAAGAAGGAAAAATTATGAACTAGTGACAGGGTCATGGGTGCCCAAAGCTTATTGACGCATGTGGGGAGCGAAGGCTGGCCAGTGTAGTCTGATCCAATAGAAGAGCTACTGTAGCTCAAATTGCTTAAAAATTTCATGCTGGTTCTGATAGAAAGGTGTCATGTGGATGTTACTTTGACACGTATCAACTACCTAACAATTTTTTATTTCCTGATGGCAGTGGCCTCTTTTAGCAGGACAACAAGGAACACAACAACAAGTATGAGGTGTTGACTTGGCTTCACAATTTACAGGTCTTAAAGGATCTCCTACTGATTACTTGGTGCCAGATACCACAGCATGCCTTCAGAGGTCTAGTGAAGTCCATGCCTCAAGGGCTGTTTTGGTGGCAAAAGGGGGACCTAATCAATATTAGGGTGTTTATAATTTTATGGCTGATTGGTGTGTATGACCTATCAATTGTGGTGACGCTTTTAACTAAAACCTATTGGCACTCAGGTTATCTCGGGTGGGATATTTCAATTGAATGGGTTATTGGTGATAGTGACCCGATTGCATTTGGTAACTAGCATTAACAGTATTGAGCCCAAAGGCTGAAATGACTTACAAAATATTAAAATTGAAAAATATTAATAAATATTATGTTATTAGCATTCTAAAATATAATAAAAAGAACATTTTCTTATTGTACTGAAATAATATTATACTGAAATTGCGAACATATAAAACCAATAAAATTGCTATTGCCAAAGAAAGTGATACAATACTCCCACTGCTACTCAGTCATAAACTGCATAAAACAAAGATCCATTTGGAAACATGAAAATACCTTTATTCATTGAAATGACTAGATTGGAAAGATGGTAGAATCAAGTTTGCTAAAACATTCTGGGCTCTAAAAAAGGATAATGTCAAGCTGTAAATGGAATTGACATAAGAAATAAGATGACATGGTCTGTAAAGTCAAAAGGATAAACTTACAGCGTGTGGAGGAAATTTAATTAAATAATTCTATCAGCAACCAGTCTGCTGAAGAGACTTGTTTTAAATGAGCAGAAGACAGTGGACAGCGCCTGTGAGAGGGGCACAGAGTGGGAGGAACAATGTAAATTAACCCGTCAAGGAGGCTGGATATTATATGTCTAAAACCGCTATTAAAGCAGAATTATGGGGAGAGTGAAATGCACTCACCCCCATATTTAGAGCTGATGTGTGACACTGCAGCTGTGACACGTCGGCTCTATTGATCGAGATGTGAGTGATCACATACCCGTGAACACTAAGTTGACAATCTTCTCCCTGCAGGGATTTCCCCTTCCTCACTCCATTCCTCCAGCGCTGACTGGAGGGACGAACGGGGGAGGGGGCAGGCACAGCTAGCTCTGCCTCTTGAGAGCTAGCTATCAATCAGGCAGCGGGGTGGATCCCAACAATATTGGTGGGATCTTTCCCGGCCGCAACACGGCTGAGTTTTGGGTCACAGGAGGACATTAGAAAATGTCCTCCTGTGACCCTAAAGTGATCTATGGCAAGATTAAAAACTTTTTGACTTAACTTTTTGACTTAATCACTTTACATAGAGAGTAACCTAGATGAATAAAGTTTAAAGGCTAAAAGAGCGTGGATACAAATGGGTATAAGCAAATTTAGGGGTGGTGGTGGAAGTGGGGCGAGAGGATTGCATGCTAGTGATGAGAGTGAAAATGTCAAGGATAGGTAAGTGGCCATTGTTAAGAAGGTGGGTGGGCTTCATTGTTGAGCTGGCAATACACTGTATGAATTTCGTCCATTTCTTGATGTTTAGCAAGGATGGAAAAATCTGCCATGTTAAAATATAAGTGTTTGGAGAGTAAATTGGGGGAAATCTGGGCTAGTTAAAGATAGCAAGTAAGGGATAGTGTTAAGCCTGGTATGTAGGTGTACATGAGCAGAAGTGACCAGGGGTTATTAGATGGCAGATAAAATAAAAGTTGAAAGGGAGATGGACCAAAACAAAATCCAAAAAGATTCTCTTTAGCAGAGCTCAATATATCTGTTCTATTTACTTAATTCAAGTATCTACTCAGTGATAACAATTGATAAAAAAAAATTGGGTTCTTGTTATGGTAAATTAATGCCACGAGATACTATAGCC